CTTCATTGAGATATAAGAAGAGTACTTGAAAACTGTGGTTGCTTTTTCAGTATTCTTGAAGGATTTGGGTTCTTTGTAGTAGCCACGCACGTGCAAGTGTCTGGAGGCTTGATTGTTGTGGATTCTGTTGTTATGTAGGAGAGCTTTTCTCTGCCATATAATGCTATCCTCACAGAAAGGAGGAGGAGGAAAGGAAAAGGACAGAACAGGAAGGCAGGCAGGAAGGAAGGAAGAGCGAGTTTCCTGGTATGTCACAGATACTGCCACTGTACACATAAAGGGAGGAGAGCAAGAAAGGAGGACATAAAAGGAGTGGGAGAAGACAAAAAAGATGCTATGAAGGAATGACACAAGGAGGTAATTAAGAAAAGAAGATAACAAAGAAAACAACAGCAAAAGAAATGAGCAGTAGACAATGACCTTACCTTTAATGGCTGAGAGAAGCTGGTCGTCAATAGACTCCACCTTGATTAGAGTATTCTGCGGTCCAATGTTACTGCCACGTAAGTCGGGTTTGTGGATTCAGCTTCGTTTTCCTGCTGTCTGCCTCCGGATGCTTCTTGCGAGTTACCAGGATGGATAAAGAAGAGGGAACAGTAAAAAAAAAAAACAAAAAACCAAAAAAAAAACCCCCAAAAAAAACCCAAAGTCTAAAATGAAAGAAGAGAACGGCTGGAAGTGGAAAAGCATAGGAGATGGCCATCATCAGGGCGGTGGCGCGGGCGCTGTGTTGGGAGCGTGTGAGGCGGCGGAGCAGCGCACGGTGTCGCTGCAGGCTCAGGAACGGCGTGTGGGCGGCTCCGCCCCGGTGCGGCGGAGAGCCCGGCTGTGAGGGCGGGGGGGCGGCGCGGGCCGGGCAGCAGAGCCGCTGCGTCCGGGCGGCGGCGGGGAGCCGTGCGGGGCCCGTGCCGGGGCCGGCAGGCAGAGCGGCGGCGGCGGCGGCGTCAGGGATGGGCGAGCGGCGGTGCGCGTTGTTGGTGCGGGTGCTGGTGCTGCAGGCGGCCTGGGCGGTGGCGGGCGGGCAGGTGCGCTACTCGGTGCCGGAGGAAGCGAAGGCCGGCACGGTGCTGGGCCGTCTGGCGCAGGACCTGGGCCTGGAGGCGGGCGAGGCGGAGGCGCGGCGGCTGCGGCTGGTGGCGCAGGGCCGGCGGGCGAGCGTGGAGGTGAGCGGGGCGAGCGGCGCGCTGGTGCTGAGCTCGCGGCTCGACCGGGAGGAGCTGTGCGGCAAGAGCGCGCCGTGCGCGCTGCGCCTGGAGGTGCTGGTGGAGCGGCCGCTGCGCGTCTTCCATGTGGAGCTGGAGGTCACCGACATCAACGACAATGCCCCCGTCTTCCCCGCCGCCCGAAAAAACCTCAGCATCACGGAATTCACCACTCTACCAGGATCTCGTTTCCCGCTGGAGGGCGCATCGGATGCGGATATCGGAGCGAATGCTCAGCTCACCTATACACTCAGTCCCAGCGAGCATTTCTCTCTGGATTTAGAAAAAACCGAGGAGGATGGTGAGTCCTTATTCCTGGTGCTCACGAAATCTCTGGATCGCGAGACAATTCCCGTTCACCGGTTGGTTCTGACAGCGAGTGACGGGGGCCGGCCGTCTCTGACAGGCACCATGGAGCTGGTGATCTCGGTGCTGGATGTGAACGACAACATGCCGCAATTCAACCTATCAGTGTATAAAGTGCAGCTGCCAGAAAATGCAGAACGCGGTGCTTTGGTGATCAGACTAAATGCCACAGATTTGGATGAGGAGTTGAACAGTGATATCTCCTATTCACTCCAGATCCTGTCCCCGCAGGATGGAAGAGACGTTTTCGGAATTGACAGAAACAGTGGAGAGATCCGCCTTAAGGGTG